CCAGATATTCTGTCATCTTCACACAGGCAGTGCATATATGACAATCCAGAATTGACCTTAGCCCATGGTTTTAACTCCACGCTCTCAAAACCGCTTAGGTTCAACGGGATGGCTGCAACCTTCCTTATAACAAAGTGCCGCTGCTACACTTACACGAATATCCGGGGAACCAGTTTTTGCAAGGAGCTATTTAAGCCGATTACAAGTATTTGTGCCCAAATCCGTTTTCGGTCTCAAAGTCATATCCACCAGGTGGTTTTCTTTCAATGGCACGTGTTGGATTGTGAAGTCATACACTTTACCCGGAGTAGTCGGTGGAGAATTTTTCTGCGGGTAACTTGGTTAGTCTGATTTACTCAACGTGTTTTGATCGTTCAAAAAAATGTATAGCAAATAAAGTCTCAGCTGACTTTCTTTTGAGACAATTTTCAGTGATTCCTTTTTAACGATTGCTTATTTTGTTTGGTGAAAGTTAGGACAAGAGTGATGTTTTTGGTATGTCAATTTCATGGTAAAGCACTGCACCGATATTCCTAATCACCAGCATTCACTGCCACCGTTGGCACATGCCTTACCCTTGGCATTTTGAGGATAATTTGCTTATCCAGAATTCATGATTTGACATGTTTTATCATCACGAGAGCTTCCCTTGTTCCAACCGGACTTCCGATTTTGACAGTGTATTCACACAGATGGGCAGCAGTGGTGCTGCACTTGCTGATATATTGGCATTACTACGCTGCTGCTCTAAGAAACTGTCTTAAGGATTGTTTTGAATTGGGGAGTGCGCAATCCTTGAAGAGTCAGTTTTCCAGCATCTCTTTGTGCCTTTTATTGACGTCATCAGGCAGATGGAACAGTGGGAACGGGCTACGTGAGGCCAGAAACGCAAAAACGGCCTTCATTTGTACTGATTCTAATCAACCTTGTAAGGAGAGAAAAAAATTTAAGGCATTATCACGGACAGATAGTTGTTTACGGCAACATTTACTTTTTCCAGTGACGAGGCGTGCCAAAATGGCTAAATTGGATCTCTCAACGCTCCTTCGTAATTCCTACTTCTTGACGCCAAGATGCCCGGTTAGTCAGTCCACTTGCCTCAGCGCGTGGTCGAGCGCAACTTGAGTAGCGGGGCCTCCGCAATCCTCGCGCTGAATGCATTAGTTCCTTAACGCTTAACTGACCAGTTGCTCTCGCCAAACGCAACTGCGTTCCAATCGTCTGCTGCTCGCCTTCAGCGAAATCCTCGGGCCGCAGCTACTGGCGCTACACTACATTTGGTGCTGTCAAGGAAATAACAAACCAACTCCGCTGACCAGCAAATACGCCTTTTGGTCCAAACTTAAGCGCTCGTATCTATGCAGCTTACCAAATGAGGAAAATGGGCAAATTAGATATCGGTTTCATGGACGCCTCAAAAAATCTATCAACAATCGAGTTATAACTAACTAAACTAAATAACTATTACTAACTGTAATTTTCACCTCACAAAGTTTTCTAACGGTTTCAGGATAATTCTGGAAACCGCCTCACGCGTTCAAGTCATACTGTTGAACTTTCAGTGTGAGCGGTGTGGCCTTCGTTTACCGAGGCTAGCCTTTAGGTTTGTATTGTTGTATTATACTTCTAATTCAAAATGTCATGGAATTTCAAAACTGGAGATCCGAAGTCGATATTCAATCGAATTATATCGCGAATAAATCCAAAAAGCGCTGAGTATAGATACTTCATGCTCATTGGGAATCATCCGCAATAAACTCCATAGAATATTTCAATCATTGTTGAACGCGTGACCATTTAACTGAGAATAAAATGTTTCCTCCACTGGCTTTTAATAGGAAGGTTTTCTTTCTGGAAGCATGAGAACTGTGTGAGCCACAAGCTTGCTAAGTGTGCAAAAAAGCTAATCCGCTAACGCTCAGATTTTTCCGACAGATTTCCCTTTATTTTACGTAGACTAATTTCCACTCCGTTGTTGAAAAACGGTGGAAATCCTTGCTTTTAAGGACTATGCAAAAGAGTTGACCAAGTTTGATCTGAATGGGAGCCTTTCTCACCAAAAACTTTTCTGCAGTTTGGTCGCAGAATATTGATGATCTTTTATTACAAAGCGGCAGCATGACTAAAGGGCCAGAATATTATCTCCTGACAGTGCTATCATGGCTTTCGCTGAGGTGTTAGAATTCAAACCCAATTTTTTCATTGCGATAAGAGATTCTGCTCATAACTGATAATCGACGCACTCTCAGTCTGCTGGTTCATCATTCATTTCTTCTATATCGCACACGTTACAGCAACAAGGTTGAAGTGCTTACATTATTCTTGAATTCTGCACTGCATTCAAGTAGTAAAGTGCTTTGTTTGAAGCAAGCTAAAAGTTGCGAAATTCGCTACGTTAAATTTCTTTTATCTCCGTATTTTTATGTGCATGTTAGGTAATCAGATATATATTTCTTTTTGTAGGCCTATTTTCGCTCAATTCTTGCTATCATTCTCATTATTCTTCGTAAAACTGAAACCCCTAGGTGACGGGCCACAAAGCATAAGGTTAACTAGCAAAGCAAAA